GGGGGGGGTGTGAGGATTTTTTGGGGGGGATCATTTGATTTTTAGGATAAGAGTAGGGGCGTCAGTCATAACTGAGAGCCCTGAGGGGGTGTCCGGTAAATATCACACGCCCTGTAGCCTGCTACTTGGCACTCTAGAAAGTAACTTTGCAGTTTCCAAGCACTTGGGACGGTTACAGCAAAAGATGCGGATCAAGAGACTGCACCATGGCGGCTTCATTATACTGTTAGTGCATCATAGTTAGAATTATTACTTGCATATGAATATTAAAAGCACTATACGCGTCGAAAGGTGAGTATGTGTGCGAAGACCTTGGGGGCGGATATCACGAAATTTATCACTAGTTATGAGGGGGAGTCACTTCAATAAAATAACATTTAAGAGGGGATCAGCTAAATGTCATTGTCTTTAGCCGAAAATCCTCCAACCAACCCTCCAACCCCAACCGCGACCGCGACCCCCTTGCGAGCCTGCGAGTCTTGGAGATCAGCAGCACTACCGGAAGGCCCGGCTGCTAAGGCAACATTCACGTGCGTTTGAGTGTTGAGTTTTGCTTAGGTAATTTATGTGAAGATTTATCGTTCTTTATGGGTATGGATAAGCATATTAAACAGAAAAAGAAGAAAAATTTAAAGCGAAAACTACTACCCAGGGATTCGGCGATCGATAAAGGTAAGGTTCATTGACACGAAACCCGTGTTCGAGCTCATCGACTGGTACATTCTAATGTTGATTGCAATTGTTCAGACTCGTGTTTCACCGTTTAGAACTGAAATCTCAGCTGTTTTGTGTATAAATTCCCTGTTGCCAAAGCCTTTTTAAGCTGAAATTAATGCTTATTGTATCGTTTACAGCTTCGAAGGCAAAGAAACGTAAGGAGATAAAGAAAAGCCACGGGGTTGTAAATTTAGCAGAAGACGAGAAAGTTCAAGATCACCAGGGTACATGTCATGTATATTGTTAGCCTTTTTCGACTTCAAACGTGTGTTGAGTTCAGATTTATCAAACCAGTAAGCTTAGAACACTTTATAAACATTTTCCCTCACAGATATTTCCTGCATACCGAAAAACTAAATAGTGCTTACAAATACAAATAATACAATAGCTCAAAGAAAGGTTGTTGTTTGTTGTTGTTTGTTACTTACTCTAAATTAAATGTCACATGTAGTAGTTGCTTACTTTGCAAAAGGCGGCCTAGACGTTGAATACAATTAATGCGTGACATCTATTATGCTGTTGGTGATTGCATTATGATTGCAGCCGTTTATAAGAATGTATGAGAATGAATTGAAAATTGTTCTAAATGATTTGCATAGAAAATTACATGTATGTACTAAATAAAAGTAGCTTTCCTCATGTTTGTATTGTATTTTTTTGATGTCTTTGTGTTTCTGGAGGTAGTTTAAAGCCATTTAGTCGAGTTATACTTTGTGATGGTTTAGACCACCATGGCTGAAATCATAACACAATCACCAACAGCACAATGTCACATATTGATCATATTCAACATCTGGGCCACCTGTGACTTTCCATGAAATTTGTTTTTCAAATTCTAGGTCATGATCCCCCTGTTTTATCAGATGGTGATGGCAGCTTGCAACCTGCTGTGGCAAAGCAACAGAAACGTTCATATGAAAGTGTTAGCTTACCAGAAGGTAACTTCTAATCCTTATCGCGAATCTTTTCATTGCAAAGGAAGGTCTAATTTAGCACCCAAATGAGGCAATAAAAATAATTTTATCACTCTTGGGTAATCATGTGAAAAAAGTTTTGTCTGTCTGTTTTATTGGCTGGGAGAAGTAATCTATCCTGTCAAATTTCCCAAGCAGTTGTATGATCACTTGTAACAACATTTTAATAGATGTATAGAAATGGAGTGAGACCTCAGAGCAGACCAACTTGTTTAGTAGGCCCATATGAAGGGGTTATGAGATCCTGAGAGCTGTGTTAAGTTAGTGATGGTGTATTGTATGCAGTGCGTTATCTGATAGTTACAGTTAACCCGTCTACACTTTTTGCTCAGTTTGTCGTTCGCTGGCAAACAATGACTTAACTTGCATGCTATTTCATAACAATTTTCCCAGACGGGATGTTATAAGTTGTAATTACTACACAAATTAGATTTAGTTTCTACATTTTACTGACGAAGCTTATTACAGTGCTTCCAGTCAATGAGATATCCAGTACTGGATGGTTGCTATCCTATGTGTAGTGTAACTTCTGTCAGAGAGTATAAGAATAAGAAAGGCCCCCTTCAATTTTTGAAAGCTGCTAATGTTGTAGCTGTCAATTCCCCAGAGTTCTGGAACTCAGTGTTAGTCTGTGATATATATGTTGCAGTTATGCATTATTTTCAATTATGATTATTTATGTTTATTAAGTCTGTTTTGGGCTTGAAATTTTTACATTAGGTTCCTTTCTATTTTCCCTGGTCTGATATTTATAATGTTATTCTCTAGGTATAAAACAAATGAAAATGAAAATTTAACTTTAAATTTGAAATCAAAAACAAATTAAAATCACAGCTTAATTAGGGCACTTCTTCCTCTGTAGATGTGGCAGTTCCTGATAGCACAGAGTTTAAATCTCTTGAAGAATTTGTGAGTGAGAAGACTCTTAATGCAATCGCTGACATGGGCTTCACCGATATGATGGAAATTCAACACAAAAGCATAGTGCCGCTTCTTAAGGGAAGGTACGTCTGCACCTTCACAGTCACGCAAATAAATGTCAGGGTGTTTATTTCAAACTTGTCCTTGTGGACCTGTGACTATTTGAACTCTTTGGCAACTTAACTCAGTAGCATCTAACCTTGATATACTATAATAATACATGAAGTGCTTTAATGAGCAACTGTCAGTGATATTATTGGAACTTAAACAGGAAACTGAAGGATTTTGACTTGTATCCGTGTACTCGCATACTTGAGTTTATGGCACTGAGAACTTGACATTTTGATGAACATTTTGCTCTGTTGGTGAAACAATTCTCTTTGAACAATTACTTTTGTCAAGCTCAAATTCTGGTAAAGGAGAAATTTTAGATTTTCAGGATAACTTTTTAACAGCAATAATTATTATAATGGTTTTTAACAGCAATTATTATCATTGTCACGTAACAGGGATTTGCTTGGGGCAGCGAGGACAGGTAGTGGAAAAACACTAGCATTCCTTATCCCAGCTGTGGAACTGCTTTACAAACTTAGCTTTAAGCCAAGAAATGGTAAGTGTTTAGATGTCTCAACTAACCTTTAAGTATTTTTTATAATTACCCATACATCTATTTCACAAATAATTCATTTCTTCAGGAGTAAAAAAATCTCTCTGAGTTCAAATCTAACTTAAATTGCAGACCTATACTGTTCTAGAAAAAAGATTCCAACAAAGTTGTTATATGGCAAGTATTGTATGATGGGTTAATAGTGATGTACAAGGCTGTCATTAAGAGCTACGTATAGCAGATGGTTACATTTATTTGACCAGCAACTACAACTGAAAGTGATTAGCAACTTAACATTTGAAAAAAGAAACAGTTACTTATTAGAACCTTGACAACCTTACTACATGTATCTCAAACTCATCAGTATCTTGAACTTTCCACAGTCTGAAACTCAAATCATTTTCTCTTGGATAGACTTTTCAGTCACTTAGTATCGACCTGGTGACATCTCAAACTATTTTTCATTTGCCCTAAACGTTTCAGATAGTGGTGTTCAACTATACCCAATGGACAACACCCACCACATGGGGAAAACCATCGTGAAAAATTTAATTTGTGCTACATGTATGTTGTGTTACCATCTTCTCCAAATCATAGCTTACAACTTCCCTGGATGTCACTGAGCACTTCAAAGGAAATCTTGCAGTACCTTTTTGTAGCTTACCGATATTGATTAATATTAAAACCACTATGCCTCAAAAACAGTGTGGCATACATGTAGTCAGCATTACTGAACACTGAATGTACATTGTATTCTTTTCTGGTTATTAGGAAGTTTTTCTCTGCCCTGCGTATCTTTCTGAGTAAATAAATGGGAGAATTTGTCTGTCTGTTTTGGGGTGACAAGTCCACAGAAATTGCCCAACCCTCCTTTAATGTATTTTGTAAAGATTTTGTAGAGGTGGGAACTTACATGTAACTGGCGATTTCTCTGATGTACGTTACCTAATATTGATACCTAGGTACTGGAGTGATTATTATCTCTCCCACAAGAGAGTTATCCCTTCAGACGTATGGTGTGGCAAGAGACTTGCTCAAGTACCATAGTCACACGTTTGGGATTGTAATGGGAGGGGCCAACAGAAAGGGTGAGGCTGAACGTCTGCAGAAAGGAGTCAACTTAGTGATAGCTACGCCTGGACGGCTACTGGATCACCTACAAGTGAGTCTAAAACTTGAGGAATGTAAATGCCTTTATATAATAGGTCAAATTATTCTCACATTTTGATTGGTTCTTACTTATGATCCACATGTATTGAGGGACAGGCATATAGATGACATCATTAACATTGTTTTTTGTTTTTCTTTTTAGTATTAAAAACAGATAGATTCCATGTTGCTGTGCATCTGTTTAGTAACAGATCACAGAAGATGTCAAAATGTGGTAAGAACATCAGTGACACNTTTTTTTTTTTTTTTTTTTTAGTATTAAAAACAGATAGATTCCGTGTTGCTGTGCATCTGTTTAGTAACGGATCACAGAAGATGTCAAAATGTGGTAAGAACATCAGTGACACTCTCGCCTAACCACACATGTGCCACTTTTTGTTCTTATCAAATTTTGACGTCTTCTGTGATCTAACACAGAACAGATGCACAGCAACATGGAAACTATTTGTTCAGTTTAAAGCATGCAGCGTAATTGCTTCAGAAAAGTGAGAGAACTTAAATTTGTACTTGGAGGAAGTTAATAGACAGTACTTTAGCTGGATTGTGAACAACATGACTTTGTACAATTTTACATGTTAAAGCATGGACAAGTTAATTTTTTATCTGTTTCTTCCCCAATGTCTGCATGTATTTTGCAGAATACACAAGGGTTTATTTTCAAGAATCTCCAGTGTCTTATCATTGATGAAGCTGACAGAATTTTGGAAATTGGATTTGAAGAGGAAATGAAGCAGATTATCAGACTTCTTCCAGGTAAAGTTTAGAATTGTATTAATATCAGTTCTCACACAAAACAGGGAGCCATGCCAAGCCAAACCACTCAGCCTGATCTTTAATATTGCAAAACGTTAAAATAGTACAAGAAAGTGACCAGCAGGAAAAGATGCTTCTATGATTACATGCTGCAAAAAACTCTAATAACTACTGAAAATGAAAACTCATGGCCCAACAAGGGCATCACAAGAACTAAAAGAGTGAACTTAATGACCTTGAGAAGCAAAAAGCTGTCAAGCTAGAAGGGTGGGTGGGTGGGAGGTCAGGCAATGGCGAACAGCAACAAGAAAACTGGCAAACAACGACAAACCATGTGACCTGACCCCTCACACACTAGCACCCACACTCCCAGATGTGTGGGAGAATAATGTTTTCCGCTTCTTTCATTCCTCAGCCAGCAGAAAGCAACACATATATTGTTATTACTAAATTGTTGCTGTTTATTGATCTGAAAATTTGTGAAATACTGCACACGCTTGATGACTACATGTAGCTTTATTCTCAAAATGTGTGTGCTTGATAATGTACCAGTACTGTGAGGAGAAATTAGATGCTTGTCACTGTTAGGAGTTAAACGCTTTAATACTGCAGTTACTCTTTAGTTCGCAGGCAGACGGTTTTGTTTTCAGCCACTCAAACACGGAATGTTGAAGACCTTGCACGTGTTTCCCTCAAGAAATCTCCTCTTTATGTTGGTGTAGATGATCACAGAGAGACTTCGACAGTGGATGGTCTTGAGCAGGTTAATAAGTGTTGAATTCAATTCATTTAGGAATGATTTCCTTCTAAGGTGTGAGAATCGCTTTATACAAGGTGAAATTGATGATAGTTCATATTGGCTCCACATATCTGAAAAGCAATTGTTTTTCAAATTTGTGTTCGAAAACATCTAGTTTGCTTTACAATGTATTTCAGACCAGCCATACTTGATGCAGAAAACAATAAATTATCTTAAATTCTATTTTTGACACTCTTAGCTACTGTTTTGTACATACATGTACACCTGTGTAAAAATCACAGTGACTGTTATTATTGTCACAATTAAGGACAAAGATGCACTAAAAATAACATAAGTATCAAAAATTGTTGCAGTGTTATAGAAAACAAGACAACATAGCAATTATTAGAAATTTTCATGACTGTATTGTAATACATTACAAATTCCAAAAGAGCAGCAAACTGCAGTACAAGTACACACTTGTGGAAAAAATACTCATGGATGAGTGGGCAGGCATGTACATGTAACGCAATGACAGATGACAGTAGCCTGTTTTTTCCAAAAAATTACAGTCTTAACGTCTAATCCACAATCTTCTGTAATCTGTTCTTAATTAAACCAAGTCATATTTTTAACAAACCATATTCTTCGCAACACAGGGGTACATTGTGGTTCCTTCTGAGAAGCGTTTTCTTGTGTTGTTCACCTTCCTTAAGAAGAATAGAAACAAGAAAGTCATGGTGTTCTTCTCGTCTTGCAACTCTGTGAAGTATCACTATGAACTGCTCAACTACATCGACCTCCCAGTGGCTCACATACATGTAAGTACATTATGCTTCTGAGTGATTCAAAGGCCCAGCCAAACACACACAGCATCTCTATGCAACATTATTGCAACGTTGTGAAAGATGTTCACCATGTCAGGGCTGTGAGACAAAGAAAAGATCGCAGTCTCCAACGGGATTAGAACCCCACGTCCCAGATGCCAGTGGAGTGCTGCCAGTAACCACTGAGCTACAGAGAGACTCCATAGGCTATTTACTGGGTTCATATGCGGCAGTGCAAGACAATTGTATAGTGTATGTTTCACATGTTTTGCCATCCTGTTGGCCCATCCAACACCTTGGAACACATTGAAGGCAGGAGAACAAACACACAGCAGTTTTGCAGTGCAGTGTGTGTTACATTGAAAAGTTTTTTTTTTGGGGGGGGGGGGGGGTTGGGGTTATTACCCAAACTCTCCCCTGTCAAAAGTATAATGGCCTATTCCTAATATATTTATATCATTTTTGAGATTTTTTATTTTAACTGGTGTAGTTNGGGGGGGGGGGCGCACTTTTAATGACAATTTGATAACTGTCAAAAAAGGCCGCCATTTAAATCAATGTTAACCAAAAACGCGAATAACAACAGCATTTTGCTCTTACAAGCTACTCGCGCTATACGAATTATTTAGATGCAGCTGCGTGAAGAACAAAGCTGATATCGAACCATGTTAACCAAACAAGCTTAGTCAATAAAGGATTTAATTTATGACTTTCGGGGAAATGTTTCTTGTTGGACGCAGTGGGTAGTCCCTAGCAGGCAAGATAGCACCATCTTGCCCGCTTGATTAGCCAATCACAGTGCAGGAGTTGGTTCATCTTGCCTGCTCACGGAACTATACATATAATAAGGCTTCCTTCAGTTTATGCACATCTTTATGCACGTGTAATGGTGCACTCGCCATGCTCTGTGGTATAATGACCAACATATTTGTTTCTTCTAGGGAAAGCAGAAGCAACAGAAACGTACAACGACTTTTTTTGAGTTTTGCAATGCCAGTTCTGGAACGTTGCTGTGCACTGATGTGGCAGCACGGGGCCTGGATATACCGGAAGTGGATTGGATTGTTCAGTTTGACCCTCCTGATGATCCCAAGGTAAAACGAACAGATCGTTGATTAAGATCATGGAACATTAGGCGTGTTAGAACTCTTTGTGAACATGACTTGATATCTCACAATCAAGACCAGGAAATGACCATGGTGGCAAAAGAGTGTACACCAACGTACATTGTGATCTTTTGCTTTGTATGAAACATGGTTGAGGATCTCCCTGACAAGGGCTGCTTGACTTAAGGATGGATGGATTTTTAGCTGATGTAGCTTGGGAGAGACGTACATGTATATGCTTAAGTCTCCGCCTTCCACCGAACTACCCCCCCCCCCCCCGACACACACACA